ATGTTCTGTATGCTAAAATTTGTTCCGATTAAGTTTGTGCACTAATGGGAGGTACGTGTCTCCCAGAAGTAACGTGTCTGTTTAAAGATTAATACCATTATCCTGTTCTGCGATGTATACCATCTCTGATATCAGTAGTACCCTTCATCGTTGACATAGACTGATAACGAAGAACACGATGGAGTTCAACTATACGACGTACATGTGAACACACACACCATGCGATTCCGCCACGATTTATAAGTAACATTGACACTTCTCGATACACACTCATTGTAAAGACTATGTTGCGCTATCTCATAACGTCGGATTTTATGTTTTGGACCGAGTATGTTTAATTTATTGCTGAAGAGGGTCACTTTCGCAGACCGAAGCGTGCAATTGTGTTCTGAGATTATGTGGTTTTTTTAGATTAAAAATCTGTTAATACCAATGCGGTATATATAAAAAAATTGTTTACACCATTTTCAACGGGTGACGGCTCACATTGCCTAAACGTTCTCTAATATTGCTTTCGTTGATTTAAGTTGCGATATAATTCAGTGATGCAGCGATTGACTTTTAGAGAGTGTAAATCTTCGAAAAGAGTAATCGCCAGGGTTGGGAGGTAACTCGTTACATGTAACGAAGTTACAGTTACTCCTTCTTGGTGACTCTAACTTAACTTCGTTACTTTCTCTCCATCTGTAACTTAACTCAGTTACATTTTTTTCGAAAACTAGTAACTAATTTAATAGTTACATTAATAGTTACTTTACATATACTTTAAACCTCCACAGATCGCGCTAAGCATAAACGCCTTTATCGACGCTTTACAACCCAAATGCAGATTTGATCTTTTTATTTTCATCGCAAGAAAGTAACGGTTCGTTACTTTTTGAGTAACTGCAACTGTAACGCGTTACTTCTCAGAATTGGTAACTCGTAACTACACTGAAAAAAATTTCTGGTTGAATATGGACGAATCAGATAATTCCTTTAGGATTTACCAGAATTCCTTTAGCATTTACCAGAATTCCTGTAATCCTACAGAAATTCTGGTAAATCCTAAAGGAATTCTGGTAAATCCTAAAGGAATTATCTGATTCGTCCATATTCAACCAGAAATTTTTTTCAGTGTAGATACTTTTATAAAGTAACTTTCCCAACCCTGGTAATCGTCCTATATTTCATTATAACATCGGTCGAAATTTTCTGACAGAAATATTACGTAATGTATATTGATAGCCTGTATATGACACATAATACCCCTCATTGAGAATATTCCTTTAAATAGACGTAGAACATACGGGTAGCGTAGCCAACTGCATGCGACGCGGCGAGTTAATACGATTGACCGAGCGGAATGCGAGCTGATCGGAACCGTTGACAGCAACGTTCACGCGCCGGTTCCGATAATAATCTCACCTCTTCGTCAAACGAGGCCGCGTTATTCAGCGGTAGAAGGCGAACACGAGCGACGTCGTTTTCTCGGCGCCGCCGCCGGGCTCTCACGCTCGGCTTCTTCCGCGTGGCGAGCCCCGCACAGCCTTGCTCGCCCCTTTCACTCTTTTCCTTCTTTTTTTTCGTACAATATTCACGCTAAGTCCCGTTGAACTCCATTCATATCGGGCGCCGTGCAGTAGCAGCAGCAGCAGGTGTTGCTGGCGCGGCAGATATAAATACGGATCGCACGCTAGTAGGTATTACACCTAAGGGCTCTTAACCTATGGATTATGACCCACGCCCGTGGGTCGACATGATCTTTTAATAGAGTGGAATTTCCTCCTACGCACCGGCCGTCGTGATTCAGCACGTCGGCCGGTCGACGCAATGAAAAATGCTGATCCGGCCGACTCGCCTCGCGAAGCGAGCTCTTCCGAGGCTGAATCCCAGCAAATCGGGAAGGAACTTATGCATCACCGGTCAAAGATGCCGAAGAAGAATAGATAGTCAATATCCAATAATATTAAAACGCGATCGGAGAGTCTTAGGATCTAAGAGATTGAATAAAACTTTTATGCTCTCGGCGTGTTAAATCGCTGACTGAAGAATTCTCTGCTATCCACCACACATTACTGATATCCGTTACGTCTGCTATATCGCTTAATCTACGAGTTTAAGTAACTGAGAAAACGTCCACCTCCGCGCGCTCCGCCGAATGGTTTAATCGACTAGAATGTGCCGATTGGAAATCGTAATCGCGATGCCGAAGATTTATCCGCGCGCGGAAAAAGGCCAAGGACCGCTGAGGAGACTGCGCTGGTAGACAAAGGGGTACCTCGAAGCTCCTCCGTCTAACCGAAATCACGTCATTGACCGAAGAGCAAGAGGGAGGGAGAGAGAGAGAGAGAAAAGAGCCGTGCTGTCGCGTCTGCCATGACGCACGTTGCGTACACGCGTACGCACGCGAACATCCCACGCGCGTGTGCGTGCGTGAGAGTGCTTCGTGGCGTAGACGTCGCGCCGGACTCAGTTCCCTCGCCTAAGCGGGGGCGAAGTAATGAGAAAGAGCCCGGCATATGGAAGGTATACCGCGTGGAAGCTAACTCCGCATCGTTTATTCGCAATCCTCTGAAAAGATACGCTACTCCGCTGGACGAGCCGCGAGAGCCAACGCGCGCGTACAAAATCGCCCTCTCAACACTTAATTTAATTTCGACGAAATGACTCGTGACTCATCTCGCGCATGGGAAATGAGGAGGAAATGTACACCCATATAAACGATGGCTGGTTCGATAGCCAATTCTAATGATTCACATCGCGATGATTCACGGAGAGATCCGTCCGCCGCGGGCGGAGGCCCATTCTGGCTGCAGCTCGCGTTTAACAATCGAATTACGAGCGGATGTAACGAGGGCTAATGCGTCCCTTCTTATTTTGCGCGGATCGTTAAATCGTCACGGCTTTTCGCACTGTCACGACGTTTACGACTAAATTTACGCGACGGTATTGGATTATCGCGTTAATTAATGACACTGTAAAAAAAAATGCGCAGTGCAGCGGCGCTGACGTTCGCCCCCCGGTAATACCCTTTTACTCGCTCCATTATCCGCGATTTATTAAGTATCCGAACGTTATTTAACGTTATCGCGCCATTAAATTTTTACGCGCGTTTACGCCGATACGGCAATCAAAATCCGAAGCACCTGTCGAAGGATCGTTCGTTTTCATTCCGGCCGCGCGGAAATTTATTCGGCTCGCAAGCGGGACTTCGACGAGGGACGGGAACGGCAAACGCAACTTCGCGATCGCCATGAATTTCGGATAAGGACGGGGAAAAAATGCAGGCTAATGAGAGTTTAGGCGTCGCTTCGCAACTTGCCGTTCGCGCAATTTAATTACGGCCACGTGGAAGAAGTTAATGAAGTAAATAACCGCCGGTTTCATACATTATTCAACCGAGTTAGAAACATCTCGCACGCCCGATTTACGAACTTTTCTGCCCTTCTGCCCCTCCCCTGTCCCCGCCGTCTCCCTCGCCTCCTGTTACCACCCGGAAAAGTTCTCACGACTGCATACATCGCTGAGCCCCGGCGATCGGTTTACCACCTGGGCGAAATGCAACTTGGCCGTGTGCACCGACCACCCGCGCAAATCGCTTCGAAATTTCGTGCGCGCGGGAAGAAAACGCCGTAGCTCCCGGCTCGGTATTCCCAAAACTTTCGATTGTTCGCGGGAGCGTCCACGTAACTGTCCAAGAGACGAGATCGCACTCGAGCCCGCAATCATTTTCCTCGCGTTTCCTCACCGGCCCTCAAAATCCTTCCCGTTTCTCCAATCGTCCGTGTTTTCATTTTTACTACCGCGCAATTGACTATTATGGAATTCTCTCGATTTACCGTCTACAATAATGCCCGGCGATCAATTACTTCGGAATCGAAGGTAAATAAAGAGGTAAGCGCGAAAAATAACGACAAACAGATTTCGCCACTTCGCTACGAAAAATTGGATTTGCAGTCATCGCTGATATCATGTTGGGATATGGAGGGATTAAATGACGTTGAAATGAACAAGTATCGCCGAGTGGGCAGGTCCGCCGATCATGTCGAACCGTGAATCTGATGCGGAAAAAAAATCGAGCGAGGTGACGTATGACAGAAGTGTCACTCCAAAACATAATCGATTTTCTGCGGCTCTATCGAAAAAAAAATTGTGCAAGCGACAGTTCTAATAACGGGAAATGAAATATCCCGAAAATAGAGAAAAATTAAGTTTCAATGATACAAAATATGATATATAATATAAACAAAATATGTAATAAAATATCAAATATAATGTAGAAAAAAAAGAAAAGTAGCGGGTTTACGTGTGGCTCGTGTCTGATATTTCCACGCTGTTGTAGTAGCGAAATAAATTAAACAGCGGGTATATTTGTGTAAATATAATGCGCGTCTCTCTCTCTCTCTCTTTTTGATTTTTTCCAAACTTATTGTGCCCGCGTCGTTATTTTATTCATTGTTGAAATTAAAATTTGATATATGCATAGGGAACGTCGAAAAAATACATCACCATCCGACATTTCGACATTTCCGATAATTTCGACAGTAACATTCGCCAAGAGTTTTTATCTCGTTAGGAGGGAATCGTCTACACCATTGTACCGAGCATCGATCGCGTTGTTAATTTAATTCGATGATTCACGCAAATACTTGTCGCTTTCGTCGCGTTCGTCGCACCTTACCGTACGTCTCTCGACAGACAGAACGCGAGAGCGAACGCGGAGAGCGCCGAGTGCGAAAGCCGACGACGCATCGGGACGATCGAATTGAAAAGGGCAATCGGTTTCGCGATGCCATCGCGGTGCACGTTGCACAATCGTCGGCAGCGAGCGCTCCGCGCTGCATTGCGAGTTTCCGTCGGGCCGCATTCGCGGCGTTACTGCCATTTAAACGCGACTCTCTCGCGCGCGCACGCTCGTTGCCGCGTGACGGTTCAAGGACGCGCGTATGCCGTGGCGCGTATCCGCGTTACGTGACGGCGCGCTCCGGCCGGAATCGGCACGATCTGCTCGCCTTTACCTGGGACAAGTCGGAGTCGTCGCGTATCTTGGCGTCCATGGTCACCTGGCTGGCGCGGATCCTCGCGACGGCGAGCGCCGCGGCGAACAGGATTGCCAGCATCGTCGTCCCTCGCGGCGGACGCGGCAGCTCCCTCGGGATTAGGCACACGGGACAATTTCACCAATCACTCGCGAATAACGAGTTCACCCACGCGTCACGCGGACGATCCCGGATGATCTGTCGCCGGGCGATCGATCACCGATAGATCATCGAGAGTACGCAAGGCTCGATCGCGCTCGCGCGAGGCCGCTCCGGAAGTTCTCCACGGACGGACACCGCGCGCTCGGAAACAGAAAAATTCACGCGCGTGCAATCGCGCGAGTGCGTGTCGATTGACAAACGAGCGACCGTCTCTCTCGCTTTCTCCCCCTCTCTCTCTCTCTCTCTCTCTCACCCCGTTCTCTCCTCAATCCTTTCCTCGCCGCACTCTTTCCGCTCGACGTGTCAACGATACGGAGGATAGCGCGGTACTGCGCCCTCTCCATGCCTGGACCCCTCTTACACCCCACCACCCGCGACGAGTCTTCGGCATGGCCTGCCCGCAGCCGAGTTTCCCCCTCCAGTCACGCACCCCTCCCGCGCGTGCGACCGCCGCGAGAACACGTGACGTCACCCGCCTTTTCCTACGCCGCGATCGCGCCGCGCCGCGCCGCTCGTGGATCATGACACTTTAATTCGACCTGATACAGCTGCTCCGATTTTTCGTGGAGATAAAATCCCGAACGGAAATTGAATATCAAACAGGTTGCGTTCGGCAGCGGCGCGCGCGCGCGCGCGCACATTTGGCGTGCGTGACGGTGGCGCGTGCCGAGATACGGTCTTTCCTTAACAAGAATAGCTACGGATTAAATAACTTTTACGTATCTTGTCCATTCGATTCGATCACTTCACGCGGACCTTATTTCGGCAGAGTCTCCGAGTATCGAGCGAGCTCTAGCGAAATGCTCAAGCGCCGAGATCTTCCGCGTCGCGGGAAATTACAACGTCTAATTAAATTTCGGGGGGAAAAAAATGATCCCGATTTGAAACGAAGCACGTCGTCTTTGCGCTCTCGTCGCCGAGTAATTTTTAATTTCATGTTAATCTGAAATCGGCGATGAAACGAGAGAAGCGGGTCAAATAGTAAGAGACCGGCGGATAAAGTTCTTGATTACAATTCAGGCTTTAATATGATTCGTTGTTTGAGCCGATGATGGTCGAATAAAGTTTCCCGCGCTCGTCGAATGCCTTCCTTCGCGGTACCGGCAGTAAAGATAATGTGGCTACATTCTTTAGTCTAGACGAGTTAAGTAAGTGAATTGAATTACGTTTTTCAGAGCGTAAGTCCGGGCTGTAAGTCCTATAACTTATAATTTAAAGGGATACCGCTACAAGATAGAATAGTTGGCCGGATTGTACTCTACGTTCCCGGGTAAAGTTCTCACTGTTTACTTTCTCTCTGCTTTCAAATAAATTCTATATAAACGATACAAATTAGATTTGCGCTATAGAAATGAACGTTGGGGACGCGCGAAATGTCAGATCGTTAAAAGTTTGGGGATCAATTCTGCGATGACTCGCGTTCCTCATTGAAGATGGACTGTTATCGGCGAGTTATTAGCTTACGATTTAATGTGGCTACCTATGGGTTCGTTACATCGTCTTACATCGCGGGATGGAGGGGGGAGGGGGGGAGAGAAAGATAGCGAGAAGTAGGGAGAGAGAGAGATGCAGCGCGATCGAATTCGGAGCGATATAATTGCCAACTCCAACAGAAGTTCATGGGGTATTTGCTAAGTGGAGTGGACTTGGACCAATTCTCGAAACCACTTGAGGCACGGCGCGGATTAAGGAAAGATCCTGATCACGAATATAAACGCGACGCGGTACGCCCGGAACTTCTCGTATTGTCCCGTTCTCTCCGCTTGTACAAGCGGACTCACGTTAAGTTCGTCCCAATCCGCCCCGGTAATTAGAGCAATCCAAATACGCCTCCTTCGCCTCTTCGACGGGCGCAGGCCCGCCGGAACACGTGTACTTTACCCAGCGACACGGTGTCTCGCCCGAAATATGTTTTCGAGATGCGGCGCATCGCCCGACGCCCCGGAGTTTTCAACAAATTTCATCGACGATGCAGAATTAATCGGCTAGAAATATGTTTTCCCGCCTGGAGTTTGGTAAATGTTTGACTAACGAATAACAGTTTGTTTGTACGAGGCAGGAATATTTAGTTATTAATACGCAAACGCACGCCTCGCACTCGCTATAGCGAGAATAATACGAGTAATGAAAGTGTCGCGGAAAATAGATCGAATTACACTTTTAGCGAAGCGTGAATATCAATTCTCCGCCCGCGACAAGTTTACTCTGGGCGGCACTAGTTTCGCGTACAAACGCGCAATGATCCCCTCTCCCCGAATGCAAATAGAAATTCTAACGTCGCGCGATTTACGTATTCCGTAATCGAAGGATCGCGCAATTTGAAGCGCCAAGGTTGGGAAAGCTCCTAGTATACGAGGTCTCGAGGTCCCTAAGGGCGTCGACCCTCAATTACGACTCTCACACTCCCCTCGGGTTTCACGTACGCGGCTATCGCCATGGAAGCTCCGCTCGCCCCTTAAAGACGAAACAAACTCGGCCATGAAAAAGAAAAGTTAAGTGCTCGTGACACTCCCCACGTCCGCCATTTTTTTCCCCCTCGCCGGACCATAATCCTCCACGAGCGACACGTAATTTTTAATTACTTCCCAACGAATCCCTCGCACGACATTTTCTTACGTCCATTTTCCTCGCCCTTTTCTCCCTCCCTTTGTACTTTTTCTAGCTAACGACGTAAGCTTCATTAACAAGCTCTGTTTATTCCTAAACAACCATTTTACACTTGTCAGTTCGGTTGACACGCATATGGGTCTCGTAAACCCCTCATAATTTCAAACACCTGTAACTTTTTCAAAACTAAACGGATGTCAACTTACGATAATAAAGCTTATTGCTTTCGTAAGAGACTTTAGATGGCGAATATCTACATGGAAATATGTTTTAAACAAATTGAAAGTTATTATAAACAT